TTACTACAACTCCTACTACTACTACTACTACTACTACTACTACTACTACTACTACCACTGCTACTACTACTACTACTACTACTACTACTACTACTACTACTACTACTACGACTACTGCTAATATTACTACGACTAGTAGTAGGAGTACTAAAACTACTAAGAGTACAGCTGCTACTGCTTCTGCTAGCACTACTACTACTACTACTACTACTACTACTTCTACTACTACTGCTACTAGTACTACTACTAGAACTACTACTACTACTACAACTACGACTACCACTACCACTACTTCTACTACTATTATTACGACTGCTACTACTACTACTGCTGCTACTGCTACTACTACGACTACTACTACTAATACGACTCGAACGACTCTCACTACTGCTCTTCCTACTACTACTACTACTACTACTACGACTACTACTACTACCACCACCACGAATACTACTACTACTACTACTACTACTACTACTGCTACTACTACTACCGTTACTACTACTACTACTACTACTACTACTACTACTACTACTACTACTACTACGACTACTACTACTACTACTACTACTACTACTACTACAACTACGATTACTACCACTACTACGACTGCAAGAACAACTACTACTACTATTACTACCACTACTACTACTACGACTACAGTATTCCTACTTTTCTACTACTACTACTACTACTACTACGACGTCGACGGCGACTACTACTACTACTACTACTACTACTAGACTACTACTACTACCACTACTACTACTACTACTACTACTACTACTACTACGGCTACGACGACTTCGACGACTACTCCTGCTACTACTACTACTACTACTACTACTACTACTATTGCTATTTCGACGGCGACGACTACAACTACTACTACTACTACTACTACTACTACTACTACTACTACTACTACTACTACTACTACTACTACTACTACTACTACTACTACTACTACTACTACTACTACTACTACTACTACTACTACTACTACTACTACTACTACTACTACTACTACTACTACTGCGACTACTACTACTCCTACTACTACTACTACTGCTACTACCACTACGACTACGACTACGACTACGACTACGACTACGACTACTACTACTACTAATACTACTACTACTACTACTACTACTACTACTACTACTACTGCTGCTGCTGCTGCTGCTGCTGCTGCTGCTGCTGCTGCTGCTGCTGCTGCTGCTGCTACTAATACTTCTACTTCGATTGATTATTCCTGCTGCTGCCAAGGAGAACAAACTGTTTTGTACAGTATGGAAGCGGAGGAGGAAAGGAGACTAGGGGGAGGCCAAGGGGGACAGGAGGATGAGGACGTCATCGGCCCCCCACCCGTGGAGGGCCCAGGTTCAGCGAGAGGCCGGCGGCGAGACGCAGGAAGCTCGCGGGCTCCACGTCTTGCAAGCGGGCGTCCTCGGCGAGCGGGCGGCCTGTGATTGCCAAGACCGCCAACAGTCGCTCCGAGAGCACTGCCGTGAGACTGGGCACACTTTTGCTTTTTGAATCTCAGCGGTGGCGAACGCACGCCGCGTCCGCAGCCTCAGCGGGGGGCGCCTCAAGACGGAATGTGCACAACGCAGGCCAGAGACAGAAGGGAGGAAGCTGGGCGCGCACTTTCTTCCTCCGAAGCCGCAGGGGACGCTCTGCCGCGGAATGCGCTACTAGCAGCGAGGTAAGTTCAGTCACCCGCGAAAGCGGGTGATGGCCCAGGGGACCAGGGAAAGAAACACACCCCACAAGCTGCGTGCAGGGGGAATGGAAGAATGGGCTCGGAAGACACGGAGAGGACACCAGTTTGAAGCTCCGCTGGTCATGCGGCGCCACAGTCGCGATCGAGCACATAAGGGACGCACACATCTTAATTCCACCCAGCGTTGCGTAGTGGATGAAACCCGAACTGCTTAGACAACGGCGCCAGACGAGGGAGAAACCACCAACACACACACACACAGGGCGGGTTCTGGAAACCCTGAACCCCAACATGCGATCATCTCTTGGAAAAAGCTGTTGAATTCCGCCGGCTTCCACCTGCCTTCCGCCAGCTTCTTCTAGCGGAGGCACCCCAGTTTTACTTCCGCTCCCTTCTGCCAACCTTCCGCCGCCTTCCACCGAAGAAGAGATGGCATTTCCTTCGATCCTCGAAGGCAAGGCCCTTTCTGGAACGCCCCTCATACACACGCTAGAACCATCGCAGTGAGATGTCGACGGTTGGGGCTACGGTTTCGGATATGACTTCAGCCCGAAGATCCCCCCCTGGCCTGGTCGCTGCTCACTCCTGGCCCTACCCAAGTGACGATGCTCAGGGTACGAATGTTGAGGGTTACGGGGATGATGATGATGATGATGATGATGATGATGAGGATGATGATGGTGATGATGATGGTCTGGGTAACTGTGACTATGTAAATGCGTATGCAGAGGACGGTTTTGATGGTGATGTCCACGACGACGTCAATGACGATGGTGAGGACGATGACAAGCATCAGGGCGAGAATGCGGCCGATGATGGCGATGCTGACGATAAGTACCGCGGGGATGATAATAATGAAATTGCGGTAGATGATGACGACGGGAATGACAATGATGACCATGGGGAGGACAATTGTCATGATGGCGGTGGCGGTGATGAACATGCCCGTGATCATAACATTGACGATTGTAACCTATCGTGTGAACATGTGGTTGCCTCCAAAAACCATATATCTCATCTTGAAGCGTGTTCATCCTCATCTGCCGCTTGTTCATATGTACCGTTTTTGTCTTCACCATGCCTGCGCATCCTCCTTCTCCTCGTTCATCCTGCTCCCTGTCGTCTTCTGTCACTCTCTCCAGGCGCTAAACCCTTCGGGGCTCGTGCCACTGGCGCTGAACCCTTCGGGGCTGGTGGCAGGAAAGCTTGCTTCATCGGTGCTGAACACTGCGAGGCTCGCGCCGCTGGCGCTCAACCCTTCGGGGCTCGTGGCAGCGAAACTTGAAGCGCAGAACCCTTTGGGATTCGTGCTCGTAGCTTCATCGGTGCTGATACCTCCGGGGCTCGTGCCACCGGTGCTGAACCCTTCGGGCCTCGTGCCAGGCAAGCTTCGAGCGCAGAACCCTTCGGGGCTCGTGCTCCTAGCTTCATCGGCGCTGAACCCCTCGGGGCTCGTGCCGCGGGGCCCATGGATTTACGCAGATTGCTCGTGTCGCTGAAGCAGGAAATCACCATATTGTTTAAATTGTTGCGTCTGGATCCCAGGCCCCTTAAAAGGTTTCTTCGGGGCTCTGGAGGCCAGGGCATCGTGGAATCAGGGTGTTGGGGCGGTTCCTCTGGGACGTGCTTCGGCACACGCTCACAGGAGGTAGGAGGAGTGAGGAGGAGAGCAAGGAGGAGAGCGAGGAGGAGGGGGGAATGGGCAGGGAGAGGAGGAGGAGGAGGAGGTCACGACTCTAAAGATGGCATCAGCCCTCATCCCTCCACCTCCTCATCCTTATAACGCAAAGTTTATAGTGACAAATCTTTGGATGGCCCTCCGAAGCCGTCCTCCGATCCGATGGCGATCGAACAGATTCGGAGATTTTGAAAAAGCATCCGGAGATCTCCGAAGACCTCTGTCGACTTCCAAGGCCTCCGATAACGCCCGAAAGTATTGGAATACCTTGCTTCATAACGTTCTTCAGCCTTCCTCCTGGATCTACTTCCTCCCATATATATCCCTCATCATTCCTCCTCCTCCTCCTCCTCCTGCTCTTCCCTTTTCTCATCATCGCAGCTTACGGATCTACCGACGTCGCACGGCTCCACAAGTGAAACTGCCAACGAAACTCTCCCCCGAACCCTGTAGATCTCATGGGTACCATGTCGGACATGCGAGTTCTGCATCGTTGTACGAAACACCACTCACATGTACTAGACTCGGGCTCGGCAAGGGGGTGCGCGCCGCCGAGGTGACGCACGCTCCTGAGCTCCCGATGGGTCGCAGGGCCCCCCCGGGCCATCCTGGTACCCCTTCGAGGCCTCCTGGGGCCTCCTGAGGCCTCCTGGGGCCTCCCCGGGCCCCCTGGGGCCTCCTGGGGCCTCCTGGGCATCCTGGAACCCTCTGGGCATTGAACAACCAACCCAAACCACAAGGAGCAACAACACAACAAAGAAACCGAAGACCCAGGGATGACATGCCAAAACAACACGAGGAGACACAACGCAAACAAATATGATTTCAAGACTCATCCACTCCCCGCCGCCCTCAGAGAGAAAGTGCAGCAGACTGTGTCTTCGGTTGTGCAAAGGCCCAGGGCTAATACCCCCCCAAAAAACAAGCGAGGAACATCAACACCAACAAACACAACAGAAAACACAGTCTGCTGCACTTTCTGATGGTGGCGGGGAGTAGTCTTGAAATCATAACTGTTTGTGTCGTACAACGAATGCAATATGAGGATAAGTTCGGATGACGACACATGGGAAATCTCAAAGAACCAGCGGGTCTTGAGGATGCATCGGGCGTTGGTGCCGTTCCCGAGCTCTCTGGAACGCTCACAGAGCATTCCGAAACGCTCTGGAGCGATTCAACCTCATCCTACGTGTGCCTGGTGCTACCCTGGGAGGCAGGGGTACGGGCAGTGGACATTCATGAACACTCCCCTTGCAACCACTTCTCTACCCCTGAGATCCGACGACGCAAACAGAATCACCGTGCAAAATCGCGACCTGAGCCCCGGATCCGACATCTCTGCCGCACGTTGTCCACGACGGGTCGCTCCGTGCGGGCCCCGGGCCCCGGCATTACGGCATTGCTCCAAGACGCCCCGCTCAGAAACTTGCGACGCAAGGATCTCAGGGACGGGAGCAACTCGTACCACAACAAGACTCCCGCACGTCGGCAAGGGCTGGGGCCGAGGCCGCTCTCGGCAGCTGGGCCTCACCGCGAGCTGCGACTCGACGGCGCCTCCGTCCGAGGAGGCCCTCACCGAACAAGGAGGCCTTCAGAGAGCAGTGCAATACGGTGGAGGTTCTGGAAAAGGATACCTACGATGAGGAACCCAGGTCGCGACCGATGGGCGGCCAAACGTGGGCCACCCACCTCGCCTGGAAACAGTAAGGGATGCGCCAAGGTCTGGGCCCCAGGAATATGTTCCTTATCCAATGCCGCCGCAGCATGAAGCTCTGTCCACGGGACCATCGTAACGGCCTCAACGTGCCCAGAGTGTCCCAGGCTACTGCAAGCAGTAATGTTTTTTGTCTTACCTCCTTCCTCCTCCTCCTCCTTCCTCCTCCTCCTGCTCCTGCTCCTTCGCCTCCTCCTCCCCATCCTGTCTCCGCGAGAAAGCTCTGCGAGCTTGGCCACACCGACTGCCAGTCGGCACTGCCGTCTCGCAGGCAGTCTGCTTGGCCGCGCGTCCTCCCCAGGAGTGCACAACTTCCAGCTCAGGTTGCTGACAGTGGAGACGGCGGCATCGTTGATGAAGCCCATCAGCCAGTCCTGTCGGTAGGTGGGGGTGGGGAGTCTAGGAAAGGAATGAACGGTATGAAGAGGGATGGGGCGTGAAAGCGGCCAGAAAATCCAGAAGGAAGGCCACGAGGGGAGCGGAGAAGGACGGTGGAAAGGGCGAGCGGAAGCGACCGAGTGGAGCGGTCGCCCGCCTTTTCCTTCCTTGCTGCTCCCTCTGCTCCTGACGTATTTTTCTCTTGGCGGGGGCATCTTTGCAGCTATGACACCTGTAATGAATATCTCCTTCTCCGGCTCCGGCTCCTCCTCCTCCTCCTCCTCCTCCTCCTCCTCCCAATATTCCCATCTTCCTGCTCTGGCTTCAACTTCAATCCCTCCTCCTCCTCCTCCTCCTCATCCTCCTGCTGAGGGAGGAAGGTAAGGAGCGGAAGGCGGAGGCAGAAGTGAGTTGCTGGTTACTGTGTACCGCGTCCTCGCTTGCGTTGCCCGCAAAATCCTCCTCCTCCTCCTTGTCCTCCTCCTCCCTTCTCCTCCTCCTCCTCCTCCTCCTCCTCCTCTTCATCCTGGTCCTTCTTCCGGTCGACCTCGTCTCCAACCCCGTCTGCGTCCCTATCATTCCACCCCTCCTCATTTTCATACTCCCCATCCTCCTCATTACCATCCTCCTCCTCCTCTTTCTCCTCCTCCTCCTTCTGCTCCTACTCCTACTCGATCCCCCCTCCCCCAGATCTCCTATTTTGTCTCCTTCTCCTGCTCCTCATCTTTCTCATCCGTGAAGACTTGGAGCGCGTGAGCTGTTCTTGCGCTGCTGGTCGCGCTGCCGCTGGGCCCTGCCAGATCTTGCTTGCAATCTCCTGCAGGCCTCCTGCTACGAGTCCACGAGTCCGAGGGCTCGACCCTTCTTCTTCCAGCGCTCCCTTGCCCAAAGGACGGACGCACTGCCCCCACAAGAAGCCATTGTGCAAGCGGCACCCTGTAGTAGAAGCGGCCAACGGAGGAATCAAGCAGGACAAGGCTGTGCAGCGAACGCGCAGGCCTTCTCAACGAACGCCAATTATGGGGGTGGTCTTCCTTCAGTTGCGCCATTTTCCCCATTCCGATCCCTCCACAGACATCCGACGTCGCGATCCTTTCGCAACGTGGGGGCCACATCTTCATCCTATGTTGTTTTTGACGGGCCCAGGCCAGGTGATCCCCTCAGGGGAGAGAGAGAGGGGCGAGAGAAAGAGAAAGAGAAAGAGTGAGAAGGAGGACGTGCGGGAGGCGAGGGATGGGTGAGGCTACGCGGACGAGGAGGGATGGAGAGCGAGAGAGCGAGAGAGGGAGGAGGCGACGAGAGGAAACGAGGGGCGAGCAGACGATAAAGGGGGCCCAGAGGCCCAGCACTGTCAAACAACACCGAAACGACCACACGCGCCCGCGATGAGAACGGGCCAGGCGCTCGGGCCGTACGGCTCCCGCACCTCCGCAGGCCGCGCTCGGCGAGGCGGGGCTGCAGGACAAAACCATCCGAGGCTGGAGAGAACGCCAAGGACCGACGAGAACTGTCGTCGTCGTCGTCGCCGTTGCCGCCCTCCCTGCGGGGGGTGGACGTCGGGGCCCCTCCTGCCAAGGCCTGTTTGAGGGTTCCGCTGCCCCGCCCGCGGTCTTCCCGTGGGGCCTGCAGGACACCCGGCGCCCCCCTGACGTTTCATCCCCCCCTCTGCGGGGGAGGCGGGTGGCCGAAGAGCGGGGAGGGATGCGAATAGGAGAAGGAGGGGGAAGAGGAGGAGGAGAAGGAGGAGGAGGAGGAGAAGGAGGAGGAGGAGGACTGCCGTGTACGCTATAGGCTTTCAGGGCGCCTAAGCTCATCTTTAAGGATGCGGCGACCCTCAGAGTTCAGCGATCCACGACCGCTTGGAAGTCTCATCGTGAAAGTGCCGAGTGTGTGTGGTGCGATAGGCACTCGCATGGAAAAAAGGCCGTGGTCGTATGCGAACGCGTCCCTCACAATGCGGAACGTGCGTGCTCCACGCTCTGGTTGATGACCCCTCTGGTGTGGTCGGCACGCCGAACTGTCCGGCGGACAAATACGTGCCCGCACGCGTTCCTGAAATGTACTTGTAAATGCGGTGTCCAAAGCCCCCTCCTCCTACTTCCTCTCATCCCGCCCCTCCAGAGAGAGAGAGAGAGAGAAAAACAAAAAAAGAGACTCGGTCACTGAAGGCTGCAGCGGACCTCCGGGGAGGGCGGAAAATCCCCCATAGGGCAGGTATGAAAACAGCATACACACACGCGTACATGTTACCAAACATGTCTGCGGGGACCTTGATCGGTATGGCCCCCCAGCCCCGAAGAGTAAACCGATCCGCAGATTGCGCAAACGACCGCAGGATGTGATGAAACATGTTTTCCGCAGACCGCAAACAACCCAGTGAGCACCAAGGTGAAAAGAGGCCAGAGACGGGGAAACGTCAAGGCAAAGAGCCAGGACGGGGAAACGTCAAGGCAAAGAGCCAGGCTAACTTTCGAGTTGGGGCGTTGACCTCTGGCAAACGTGTCCCAATAATGGTTTGTGCCATTGGACGGGAAACCGCGTCCACGCGGGCATTCCTTACTCAAAGAACGCAAAGCGCCAGTTTCAGAGCAGGCACCACACTTGCCATATGTAAAAAGAACACCATGGGAGTAGTTTGCTACGTGCAATATGTGCCCCCTTGGGTTGGCGACCAGAGCAGAAAGTGCTCATTTGTACCCGCGACAAGCGACACGTGGGGCGCGGGCTTACGGTCGCTGTGACAAAGCGCCAACAGCGCTGGCACGCCCTGCGGGTGCGACGCCAAACCCACACATGCCCTTCTGGGCTCGCTGGAGCAACTGCCGAAGATGCCGCTTCGGGCGGGGCAGGGGGCGGTGGGAGTGAAGGCGGGGCCGTGGGCGGTGGGAGCGGGAACGCCTGACAGACAACCCCAATGCCCGTTTTAAATCCTGGTGCTCTTAGCTGCGCGTTAAAAGTGGCACGCATGGCTTGGGAGTAACGCATGGCGTTGGAGGAGGAGGAGGAGGAGGAGGAGGAGGAGGAGGAGGAGGAGGAGGGGTGCGAAGAGGAGAAGGATGATGATGATGATGATGAGGAGGAGGAGGGGGAGGAGGAGGAGGAGGAGGAGGAGGAGGAGGAGGAGGAGGAGGAGAGGGAGCAGGATGAGGGTGAGAGAAATGTCCCTTGCTTCCGTTCGCAATCAACGCGAGCCAATATTCCTGGTCGGTTCCCATGGTCCTTCTTTCAACGGCCTCTTGGCTGGAGCCGCGCTCCCCGCCCTCCCTGCTGGGATGAGGTGGAGGACGAGGAAAGGGAGAAGGCGGAGGTGGAGGAGGTCAGCGGTGGTGGTAGGCACGGGCGAGGAGGGGGGGGAGGAGGAGGAGGAGGAGGAGGAGGAGGAGGAGGAGGAGGAGGAGGACGAGGAAAACGATGACGAGGTAATTTTATCCTCCTAATCGATCAAGGATCAACGTTACCACTTCGTGTTTCAGCTTCATGGAACAGGCTGGCCAAGACAGTGTGAAACCGTCGCGCGCGCAGAGCTCCCTGCGTAAAGTCTCTGGCGCAACTTACGTACTCCCAGGAAAGAGGCCTCGAACACTCATGAGCCAGGCAGGCGCCGCAGTGCCCAGCTGATGCCCAGGGCACCACGAGTGGTGCGCGCCCAGCCCTTTACGTCTTTCAACATACTGGCGCTCGTGGCTTGCATGCCCGCTTATGAGGTCGGCTTTCATGCCGCGATATGTGAGCCAAAGCATTCGCAACCGTTGCAACGGCTTTTTAAGTGCCGGCTAAGGTAAGCGCTGCTTGAACTCACCGCCGGTCTGCTTGCACGCTGTCTCAAACTCTGCAATCGTCGAGCGCCCCCATCGCACATCTGAGGTGCTCGCAGCACGTTGGCAAAGACGGAGGCCCTCGTGATGACCTCGCCTGGAGGAAGGCCCCAGGCAGAGTGATTTGGGGCTGACAGGAAAGAAGGGGTTTGGAGACCCGTCGGCGCAAACGCAGATGTGACGAGCACCGACGCACCTCATACCCGAAGTTTTGGTAGAAGGCAAGCAACTGCCCAGCAAGACCGTACCTGTAACCCAGTAACCCAAGACCGTGGTCAGAGGCCCCCGTCAGCACAAAAGAGTACATGTGAAGAGCACCGCCGTACCTGTGAATATACAAAGCACTAGGAGGCCCCCAACGGCACCATAATATCCGAGACGAGCACCAACAGTGATGAGAGGTCCCCGTCGGCGCAAACATACCTGTGAACAGCACCGCCACACGCGTGAACCAATATTGCGGTGAGAAGTCCCCGCTGGCGCAAGAATACCTGTGACGAGCATCAACTGCGGTGAGAGGTCCCCGTCGGCGCAGAAAATACATGCGATACGCACCACCGTACCTGTCAACCAACATGATGGTAGGAAGAATACCCGTGACTAGCACCACCTTACCTTTGCAACAAAGTGGCAGCGAAAGGTCCCCGTCGACACAAAAATACTCGTGACGAGCAACGCCGTGCCTGCGAAACAAAGTAGCGGCTAGAGGTCCCCGTCGGCACGGTAATACCTGTGACGAGCCCCACCGTGTCTCTGATCGAATATGGTGGTCCTGACATCTGCCACCCACAACAGCAACAGCTGGTCCGCCTCCTTTCGTCGCGCTTTGCCCGTGGGCCAGCCCGAGCGTCTCTGGAGAGCGTCCTTGGAGCGGGCGCAAGGCCGGTCCCCGACGCCTCTCTTTGACACTCCTACACCAGGTGGTCCGTCGTTGGCACAGCGCCTGCACATCGCGGGCATACCATCGAAGTGTCGTTCCCTTGGCCACGCTCGACAGCGGCAAGTGACACAGGGCCTGTCGTCAGCACCGCCAAGATAGACGGGTGCTCCTGCGCTCTGGCGATGGCGGCCTTGAGCCGCTTCGCGTCGTAGTGGGCAGTCTAGAACGCCTGCGCGTCGTTTCGTGTTGTGCCCAACCAGGTGTGGAATTTGTGATACCGCCACGCTTCCCGTAGTATGTGGCCCAGGACCTTGGGCGAGTGCCCGTGTTCATCCGTGCTGTCCAGGGAGATCGTCTCGTCGACCCCATGGCGGTACCATTTCCACTGTGCACTACCAGGGTCCGTCCGGTCCCCCGAGCGCCAGGCGCGCTGCCGTCGATCGTTCCTCTGAATGGAACCCGCGTTGCGGCGATCTGCGTCTGCTGCTGAGAGCGGAATCGCGCGTCGACTCTGTGCCCCACGACCAGGCACTTGAGGTGCGGCGACGACCGCCGCTGGAGTTTGTCCATGTCCGCGCGCGGCGGCGTGGAGTTGAACCACCCGTGCTGAGACGAAGGGAGCGGCCCTGCAGCTACAGTGCGCGTTCCACCTGTCGTTGTGCTTTGGACACGCGTTTCGCCTCCTTGGCGCTGGCGGCCCTGTGCTTTCCTCCAATGAGGTTCATCCCCAAGAGTGTCGAACTTGGGAAGATGATGTCCACGCGGGCACCCAGCGCCTGCAGCTGCCGACGCGTCTGCGGGCCACGGTGCGCCCACAGCTGTTTACCATTGTTCTCCACCGCACCCAGGGATTGTGGCCAGTCGTCCTCGATGTCCGCGGAGCCAAGCATACCATCGAGACTGCGGGACCTCCACGTACGGTCGTCGACGTACACGGCCGTGCTGACCCGGGCCCCCGCACGGCAGCCTCACAGAGCGGACCCGCGAGCACGGCCGTAATGGCCAAGGCGAACCACGGATCCCCCTTGCGCGAGGGAGGTGGTTACGTTTTCTGGTTGCTTGGCAGTGGCACCATGTAGCTGTAACCACCTTTGTTGGTTGGTCCATTGCCTCCCCAACATCTTCGCGACATGTTTGGGCATGCCCATATGCTCCATGGCTGTCGTTGCTGCCGTAGCGCCGTAGGATGTACCTGGTCGACCGCCAAGCTGTCGTCCCACGCCGTGCCGAACTCGCTGGCCTCCAAGGCAGCGATGACCCGCGCCGCCGCGTCGCGCACCATGGCACCGTTATTTGCCCCGTCGGCCTCTTGCGGCCACCACTCCTTGCACCAGGCAGCGCAGGAGGGAGAACGCAGGCGAGCTGTGGCCCAGACCCTGAACCACGAGCTGAACACCGTGATCGGTCGGAGCTGCGAGACTGGGATGGCCCCTCCCCCCCCCCGCCGGCGGGCTCTCTTTAGGAAGATGGATCTGTCGCGCCTCCGACCACGGACTCGGGAGGGCCTCTGCCATCTCGAAGGCATCAAACACCACGGCGACAGCCGGGGCCACAATGCCGCCAAGGTCAGCCTCCCAACCTCGTAACCGTGCTGTCCCCGTGCCCGGTCCCGCTCCGCCCGTAGTCGGTTTTCCGCGTCCCGTCGTATTGGAAGCGCTACTGGAGCGCCTTCCTTTACCTCAACCTGCCCGAGAACAACCGCAGCACCTTGCTTGCTGACTGCCCTGGGGCTCGGCTTGCTCAACGTCTTCCTTTCAACTCCTCGGGGCTGAGCCCACCGGCAGTCCTAGGCGAGCTGCCGCCGCACGGAGGCGCTCTTGCAGCTCGCAGGGATCTGCCTCCCTCCCCCGGCCGCGGCGCACCAAGTGCAGCAGGCCCGCTGCACCTTGCGACGAGATGCGTGAGCTGGCGCTCCTGACGTGGCGGCTGCGGAACCCCGCAGTTGGCCCGCAGCGCGATCGCTGGCGCCACCTGCAGCGTGATCGCTGGCTCCACTCGTGAGCGTCCACGCAGTTGGCAGCCAACCTGTCGCGAATCCGAATGAGGGCACGAGTGGGAGAGCGGGGGGGAGCAAACCGGGGAATGAGGATCACATCCGCTCACAAAACGGCCCCAGGACCGTCGTACGGTCCCAAAGCGAACGCCCAATTGCGAAAAAACGTTTGGATACAAATGCGTGGCGTCGTGTCTTTGTTGTTCTTAACGGACCCCTGGAGGCCTCGAGCAGTTCCTGGCGACTGGCTCTTCATGCCGAGCAGCTCTCCGACGGTCCCCAGGACTGCCAGAAACCTGCCGTTGTAATGTTCCCGCGGGGCGAGGATGCCAGGGGGCGACGAGGACGAGGAACGGGGAGGTGAATGAACGGCTTAGGAGGACAGTCAGTCGCATGACTAAAGCATGAAGACAGAACTCAAACCTGCCTGGCCTTCTCTTCGGCCCTGGTCCGCTGGAACGGCCCTCGTCCTCACCGAGCACGGGGGGAGGCAAGGCGAGAAACGAGCAGGAGAGCGGGCGAGGCATGACGCGACGAGCAGGGGGGGGGGGGCGAGCGGGCCGCGGCGCCTGCCACCCGCCAGAGAGCTCCGCCAGCCGAGTGCCGCCGTTGAGCTCCGCGCAGCCGGGGCCAACGTAGCACCAGGTGCCGCCGAACCACTCCTGGGGGCACCCGGGGAGGAGGGCGGAGCGTTCCCGCGGCACATCCCCCACGAGATCGGAGCGTCCGCACCTCGCACCGGGCGGGGTCGCCCGGTTTCGACCTCGGGGCCACGACGCCAGCGGTCAGGCTCGACGGATGCCGCAGAAAAAGATGGGGTCGAGGGCCCCCGTCGTGAAGTTTCGCTGTGTTGCTTTCGTCGGCGCGGATCTCGGCGGCCACCAGGCGACGATGACTTCCCCGCGCGCGAGCGCCGCGAACCACCACGTCGGTGCTTCGCCGCAGCGCGCAGCTTTTGTCGTCGCGGATCTCGGCGACCACCAGGCGATGATGGCTTCCCCGCGCGCGAGCGCTGCGAACCACCACACGTCGGTGCTTCGCCGCAGCGCGCAGAGAGTGCCAGCGCCTGGCCAACGAGGAGCGCTGCACGCTGCGCACGGGGGGTGGGGGGGGGGGGCGCGATGGCGGCGGAGCAGGCCGGAGTGGAGGCGGGCCCCAGGGCGGGGCAGAGGGGGACGATTTCGCACGAGGGGGGGGAGAGAGCTCCTGGAGATGTCTCGCGCAGGCTCGGTAGGAGGTCGTCGAGGCCTGATGAGGCCCCGCGAAGGAACCCCAGACAGGTTCCGGCAGGCCTCCCTCCACCCGAGGGCTGGCAGTCGAAGCGTCGAAGCGCAGACCCCCCCCTTCAGCAGTCCCAGCCTGGTTCGCGGAGGCCCCTCCGCCGAGAACGGACCCCGAAAGTGTCCAAAGGCAGATTCCCCCCAGAAGTCCTGGATCGCGAAAACCCCACTTCCAGGTGAGGACTAGGAATCAAAATGTCAAACGCCGACCTCCCCCACAGGAGTTCCAGACAAGCTCGTCGAGAACCCCCTCGAGGACGAAGGTCGAACTGGGAAACATTCCCCCCCTCACGAAGTCTCCGAATGGCGTCGAAGAGATCCCTCTTTCCAATCGAAGGCGAACATGGCACAAATCAAATTCGGCCCCCCGCCCCAGGCGTCTGCCTTTGGCGCCGCAGCCAAGCCCCCCTCTCTGGGCTAACTAAGGACAAAAACTGTCATCCCCCCCCCAGAACCCCCCAGACATATTGAACCAGACCCCCCCCGCCCCCACTGGCTGGGCACCCTCGGCCATCAAAATCAGACCGCCCGTTACCCCCCCCACACTCCCCCCCACTCCCCCCCCCCACACGCACACACACACACACACACACACACACACACACTTCATGATGAAACCCGGAGTGGCCGACGTTCCTCGCGGGGCCCCGCGCAGCTTCCCTCGCTTCCCCCCCATCCATCCTTCCTACGTCCACCCCGCCCCATCCTCCATCCTCCTCCATCCTTTTCCTCCTCCATCCTCCTCTTCAAGTCTCCTCCCGCCTCCAAAATCCCTCCTCCTCCTCCTCCGGCTCCTCCTGTCCCCCCCAACCCTCTATGTTCTCATATGTTCTTGATTTTCGTATTTCCCCCCGGACTTGGTGCGTTGCTGTCGCCTTCGCCTGGCACCTAGTACGGCCCGACAACTTTCCGCTCACAATGGCCAGCGCCATCTTGCAGCCAGGGACGCACTCCCGAACACTGGCTGACACCTTACAACAAATATCCTGCCGCTGCACCATTGCCCTGGCCCGCCAGCCCCTGGCCCGGACACTGCCGCCAACCTCGTGCGGGCAGGGATTATAACCGACAGGACAGACGACCTCCCGACGACAGCCCACAAGACGACATCCCCTACGCACCCAACGACGGCACCAGCGACGCATGGGCTCGCAGCGACAATCCCTGTACTGGCTGCATGCCCGCTCCCGTCGCCCACCTTCTTGTGAAATCGGCGCAGCCCCGCCAGGCCCGAAGCGCCCAACGAGCGCGAGGGACGACACGCAGGCTTCCCATCTTCAACGCCCAGGCGCCCGCTGAAACCGCACTACAGCCGGGGCGTTGACCTAAGGAACCCGAAATCCTAAATAAGGAACGAGGCCCCTTTCTTCCATAAGCTAACCTTCGGTTTCCTGTCGAAAACATAAGCAAAGCCTGAGGCAAGCTGTGAAACCCTGCAGGAACGCGGAGCCCCTCCCCAACGAAAAGGCTTCCTTCTGCAGGGCCCCGCCTGTGCTCCGCCCATGCTGTGAATCCGCCACTGGAGGGTGGCTCCCTGCAGGCAGAGTGTGGACGCCCTGCCCCAGGACCACAGACGACAACCCCCGCGCCAGGTGGGGCCACCCATTCTGCCGAACCTGCCGGCAGCACTGTCAACCCCCCCGCGCCACCGTCGCCATCGACAGCCGAACCGATATAAGCGTCCCAAGGCCACCTTCACCCGACCAGGACCGTGCTCACTGGCCTATGGAGGCTACGTTCGACGCCGGGGCACGATCCACTTGCGGCCGGCCAATGGTGGCAGGGGCTGGAGCCACGCTCTGGCGACACGATGACGACGGGGCCGCGCCCACCCGCCTCGCCTCGTGCATTGTTGCCCCACCGCGGCGAGGTGCCTCGCCAGACTGAGCGCACTGGCGCAGGCGAGCCCCACAGCCCGAGCTGCCCGCATCGCCTGGGGCAACCTGGCCACCGTAAGGCGCGGCGCTCGTACCGGCAGGCATCCGGCGACTTCCGCTGGCCACGCACATGGACATGGGACTGAGGCTCCTCGCCGAACGAGGCTGGGCCCTGTCCCGGCAGGCGGTCCGACGCCGCCTGGACGTGGCCAGCGACAGGCTGGCCACCCTGGGAGTGTTTTGGGCAGACGCCCTACACTCAGTCGGCAGCGACACAGTCAGAACCCGGGCCGCATGGCACGACCGCCGGGGCTCCGAAACCGAACCGCCTCCTCTCCTTCCCCCTCCCCCCCGTCCCTTCCCCTGGACCCCGACAGCCTCGCTGCCGCGGCTGGCGCCCTGGAAGCTGCCGCTGCCCAGGATACCAGACGCCCCCAGCGGATCGATCGATCGGACTCTGCGCGCCAAGGTCAGCCGCCCCGGCGCTGCTGCAGCGCGCTGCCGACCCAGAAGGTGCGCCGCCACCCTCATCTGACTTGCAACGGGAGGAGGAGGAGGAGGAGGAGGAGGAGGAGGAGGAGGAGGAGGAGGAGGAGCAGGAGGAGGAGGAGGAGGAGGGGGGGGAGGGGGAGGAGGAGGAGGAGGAGGAGGAGGAGGAGGAGGAGGAGGAGGAGGAAAGGAGGAGGAGGAGGAGGAGGAGGAGGAGGAGGAGGACGAGGAGTTGGTTGCCCCCCAGCGTGACTCACCAGCAGCACGGGCCCACTTGCCAGATAACCCGCCTGCCTGGCCCCCGACCCAAGCGGCCCGACCCCGGCCCCTGGACAAAAGCCGAGGTTCCAGCGCAGGAGGTGGCCGTACACGCGGTGGGCAGGGGGCGCAAGGCTGGAGGGCTGGCAGTACTGTGAGCCGTGCGGGAAGATCGTGAACGAAAGGGGTCACTTCTACGACACGAGGCACAGGAATAAGAGCGCACGGCAGGATTCGCACGGCACCGCCCGACCCCCAGCAGTGGACAGGAGGTGGAGACCTGTGGACCCTAACGCAGGGACAGCCCACCCCCGACATACCCCGGAAGCAATACCCGGGATGGCTGCGAGTGACCCATCCCGCCATTGACGGCGTCGGGATGGAGGACGAATGAGAGCCCATAGAAGGGGACTGGGACGCCGTCCCAATCTGCTTTCCCCGCCCAACGCCAGCGACAACTGGAGGACCCCCCAGGCACAGGGACCGACATCGACGCCGTCAAGGACCCCTGGTGGAGCATGGGCATCAAGGACACCTCCCGCGAGGAAGCCATTCGGAAAATGACACAGACGGCTCTGGCGCGTATGTCGCGGACGCCCAGCGAGCCGACACGCCCTGTCCCTGACGGCACCCGCCGCCCACGCGACACGCGAACAGGACCAGACGGGGCACCAGCAGACCCCCCCAAGCCGCCATGACCATCCGCCTGTCCGACGCCGACCCCCCGCCGCCCCCCCGTGCACCCGACGCCTCCCCGCGGCGCCGACAGCCCTGCGGCCCTCGCCTCAGCCGACGACCTCGAGCTCCCAGCCGCCACCAGGGCGGCACGAAGCGTGCAAGGACATGTACGCTCACCCCTGTCACCAGCCCCCAGCGCAGCACATCCAGCGGCCCACGGGCCCCGTGCCAGGGGCAATCACCCTACCAGACAAGCGGCAGCGGAACCTCCAGGCAGAGGATGGAGGCCCTATCAGGTGTCTGAGCTCGAGAAATTCGCCAGGCTTGAACCCGAGGTCGACGGGACCAGCAAAACTAGGACAGAGCTACGCAAGCGGCGCACCAGCGCACTAGACGTGGGCATCCACAAGTACGCCCCCGGTCCCGCCCCCCAAAAAATGTGAGGGAGTAGAAGCTGCAAAACGAGCTCAGCAACCACACAGGCAAATGGAGATCTGCCTATTCACCTGGGACGGCGACTGGAACCTCGACTGGAACAAGGACGACCTACACGAACTCACACTCCTGGTCTCACGCAAGTCGCCCATCACCGGCCGCCTGTCAGAGGTCCGACCCGTGTGGCCCCCCTCACCAGGAGCCCGCACCACTGAACATCGGAGCGGACGCTGCCCCATAAATTGCCTGATTGCCGGGATGAACACCAGGAAAGGGCAGGCCATCCGCCCCCTTGACACGCCTGCCGACAGACCCACACAGCCCGGTCAAGCCCGGTCCCGGATCGATCGCGCCCCAGGGCAGATCCGAGCCTACGGGTCTGGAGCGCTGTGCAACACGTATGCATGCTGAACTCCCTTCCAGACGACATGTGGGGCATCCCCCTACACGTCATCCCGCGCGTGGTGGCGTTCCGAAGCGCTCCCGTCACCAACGAGGTAATCGCCAACAGCACGGCAGACCCAGCGCGGGCAGGGAACCCACTCCAGGCACGGGCGGCCGCCACCCTGGACATCAAGATCCCAGACCCCGAGGGCCACCAAGGCGACGCGACCTCTCTGCTGCCCGCCCCCACCGACAAAGACG